ATTTTAAAAAAAATTTAATTATTTTCAAAAATTTCGACGGAATCTGGGAAAATTCCCGTAGTCAGTTTTTAAAAGGTTTGACTGCCATGCAGAATTTTTTCGGGTTTTTCGAATCGGGGTGGGGGGGAAAAAATTAGCCCGGCCACTAACATTTTGTCACCCTTTCTCAATTAACTGTCTTAGAGATTATTACCAATCATGGTTTCCCTTACCCCCAAAAATATTTTTTTTCTCTGCTAATTCCCCTACTTACGGGCTTGGGGTAAAAGCTTGCGCTCATCTCAGGTTTTTTTTAAAAATAATCGCTTGAAAAAAAAATAAATTTCAAATTTAATCGCGAATTTTTCCAAAATTTAATACTTTTTTATTATTTTTGAATTTATAATATTATCTTTTATTTTCATTTCCTCTTTATTTGCCCCTAAGGTAGCTGTAGCTGCGAACGTCTTAGGGGGTTGGGCCCCCTGCGTTGTCCCCGCAAAACCCAGGTTTTTTCGAATCCGGGCCGCACTTTTTTTGGTTTTTGATAAAAAATGTCGCATAAAAAAAAACGACCTTTCTACAAAAATAGGGGGTGTAGGGTTTTTTTACGTGGATATTTTACAGTTGCTTTTACCAAAATAATTTTTGTGGAGATATTTTTCCCCCAACTGCAGTGTAATTTGGAATTGTGGTTTTTCCACTAATTTTTTTCCATCCCTTAGATAAAAAAAAGAATTGAAATTTTAATAAAAAATATTACCCCAAAAAATAAAAAATTGAGACGGAAGTGTTCGGGGCCGGGTTTTTAATAGCCCCGCACACCCCGGGGTTCATTCCCGTTAGGGAAAAACTGTAGCCCCCCAGCCGGACACTTTTTTCCCCAAGGACAACATGGCAGAATAAGAAGCATCGCGCTGTTTTGAGAATTTATCTTATATAATTGTGGCCCTTCGCTGCTCTGAGCTCAAAACTTACCATTATCATTTTGATCGAAAAGTTATTAGGCTGCAGTCGTCTAAAATCAGTTAAAAAAATATCTTGCCATTGCTTGCCAAAAATAATAAATAAATAACAGCTG